GGGGCGAAACTACTGGGGGGGTATGGGGGGTGCTGCACCCCCCCAATCTTCAAAAAAGCAGATTTTGTCGGGCAAATTTATGGCTGCCTGTGTATCTGTCGGGCAAATCTGGAAATTTTCTTTAGATCGCACTTTTATTGCTACTTTTTGCCCTAGCTTGGTTTTTCCCCCATCTTTTTTTCAATCTCCTCCCAGTTAGGAAAACAAAACAGAAACGAGGCTAGGAACAGTAACATATATATACATTTCTTTTTTTTGTCCACTGATCAGCGCTTTCGTCTCGAGCTCGACAGGCACATGTTTATCTTCGCCTCGAGATGAAGTCTGAAGTATTGATCAACAGCGAAAGTATAGACGGAAAGTAAAGTGTGTTTGATGCGAGAAGAAAATGAACACTGTGCATACCCATTCCCCCTACTTTTTTGCAAAACGAGAGAGCTTTTTACAAAATCTTTGTTTGTGATTTCTAAAATTTCCCTTGACAAGCCCCCGCCCCCCCCCGCCTGTGTTTTGGTGTTCCACTTTGATAAAATTGAGACCCCACTTCAATCCCCTTTTTTGAATTGCTCTTTTAATAGCTAGGTGATTTAGAAAAGTGAAGACCTTACAAATGCTTGCTTTTCGGAAACAAATGTTTATAGCCACCAGAAAAACTAGAGGCATATTTCTTGACTTTAAACAAACAGCCTGAGTCTAAACTCTCTCGGACTTCCCGATGATTTCAGCCCTTGAGGCGATGTGCTCTAAAAATTAAGTTCATGTATGACACGCCCTTTCATCAAGCATGCCACGCCCTTTTTCCGGGCATCTAAGCTTCATACCCCCCTAATGAAAATAGTGCAGTTTCGCCCCTGGGTGTGGTCACATCGAGAGGAAGGAACAGGACACTGCTCGATAAGCATAGCTTCTCAGTGTCCTCATAGATAATAGAAAGGAGAACTGGATTGGCAGCGCGGCAACTTCAAAGGACTATGTTGAAAACGAGGATATTTTGTGTGGCGTGCAGAAGGTTTATTTCCGGTTGCAAAGGAGAGTCCACGATAACAAGGATCAATATGAAAACTTTAGAAAAATTGGCATAATTTGGAGTTGAAATGGTTGGAGCAAGTTGTTGTGTATCCAACTGCAGACGATATCGTTGTAAACTTAAATATCCTCACTTGAGTTTTTTCAATATTAATCGCGTAGGCAACTCAGAATGGACTGCAAAGCTTGTTCACTGTGTCGATAGGTGTGACAAGGGTTTTAAGGTTAAGAGTGCAAAGATATGTGCTGTGCACTTCAAAGAGGAATGTATCTTTATAGGTATGTGAATGCATTTTATTCAAGTATTTATGTCCATTTGATAGTGCAAAAAACGAGTCAAATGCAGACTTTACCGGTCAACGGGCTTCCTTCTTCGCACGTATCTTTAGCGGACCCTCATTTTGCCTATCGACCAAGATACTCTTGGAATACATTTTATCCATTTTTTGTTTTTGACATAGGAATCTTTACCTCCTCACGTATCAATTATTTTCATTTAGGAAAAAACAAAATCACATGTCCGCGTAAATAAAAACATATATTAAGATGCCTACAACCTGTATCTTGAGAAAACTCCAAAACTCAATGTCCTACAGCCTGTAGGATATCTTGAGAAAATTCCAAAACTCAATTTCCAAAATGTTCTCTTATAAAATCCCTCCACATCCTTCTCACCAAATATGATATGTTTATTTTAAGATTTGAAAATTTACCAAACCTAAAGGATACCAAACCTACTGACCTTTTTCTGTTCTAGATAAGAATGGGATCCCAGAGTTGAAGGAGAACAGTTTGCCAACTGAACTTCTTCCTCAAAAAAGCAGCATTTAAACACCTAAACCAGCACCCAGAAAGAGTACAGTATAAAACCACAAAGCCAGTAAACGCGATTCAATTACGCTGTTTAGACGAATTAAAAAGAATTCGCTTTACAAAAGGTACCAATGCAAATTAATTAGAAATGTGATGAATCCCTTTTTATGTTGTAAATTATCACAAAAATCCTTATCCTGAAGAAAAGTCAATAGAATATTGACAAGCTTTGTCCATTCGTTACCTGAAATTAGAGTTCAAGGGTTAGCTTAATGTGACTCATTCTAGTCACAAAAAGAATTTAAGAAATTTGCAAAAGTGCAGACTACAATGGCTTTTGAAGGACATAGATAGTTTTCAAGGATGTCCCGGAGTAAGTGAACCCGAGCTACAAAAGTTTGGACAACTTCCGACTACAAGGTTTATTGTCCTTTCTATTTACATTCGATCTAAGCCACTGATCCAGGAACAGATTGGTGCAGCTGAAACAGTTATGAACTGTCTGATGATGAAATAACCCTTTCATGTAGTTACAAATGTTCGGTCTTCAGCTGCAAATTGCTGGGCTACAATGAAGACCAGTTTAA